TCATCATCTTCATGAAGGACTAAAAGCAGAATATTTAACTGTGAAAGATCCTCTAGAATTGTGGATCAACTTAAAAGAAACATATGATCATCAGAAAACTGTGATTTTGCCTAAAGCTAGTTACAGTGGATGCACTTGAGGCTACAAGATTTTAAAACCGTAAGTGAATACAATTTTGCAATTTTTAAAATAAGTTCTCAATTGAAATTATGTGGTGAAAAGATTATTGATGAGGACTTAATAGAAAAAACATTTTCGACCTTTCACGCTTCAAATGAGCTACTCATGAAAAATCATGAAGCTCGCCCCATTGGTTCTGCCCCATTCCTTGAAGTGAATGTGGTAACTCATCATAAATCTAAAAGAGGACAAAACCGTGGTTGTGGCCTTGGTCTTGGTCGAGGCACAACAATTACAATTATCGTGGTTGTTATAAGAAAAAATTTTCTCACTACCAGAAGTGGAATAATAGTGATAAACAAGACAAAAATAAAGATGCTCCAAGTAATCCTTCAAAGAGTGTAGATAATGTATGTTATCGATGTGGAGTGAAAGGTCATTGGTCACGTACCTGTTGTACACCTGAATATTTTGTTAAGCTATATCAAGCTTCAATCAAAAAGAAGATATTATTCTCGTAGATAATGCTACAACACATACTATACTTAGAGATAAAAGATATTGTGTCTCTTTTGTTATGAAAGAAGTAAATGTAATACAATATCTGGTAGTATGAAATTAATTGAAGGCTCCGGAATAGCCAATATTATATTACCTAGGGGAACAAAATTTGTTTATATTATAGTAAGTTTCAAAGAAACTTGTTATGTTTTAAAGATATTCGCCAAAATGGATATCATATTGAGACTGTAAATGAGGAGAATATTGAATATGTCTATATCACAACTATTATATCGGGTAAGAAATGTGTATTGGAAAAACTATCCGCCTTTTTCTCTGGTTTGTACTACACAAATATTAGCACAGTTGAAACTCATGCTATATTAAACCAGAAGTTTATTGATCCGAATATTTTTACTATTTGGCATGATCGGTTAGGCCATCCCAGATTAATCATGATGCGAAAAATTATTGAGAATTCACATGGACACCCATTAAAGAACCAGAAAATTCTTCAATTTAAGGAATTCTCATGTGCTGCTTATTCTCAAAGAAAATTAATTACTAGACCATCACCAGTTAAAGTTGGGATTGAATCCCCTATATTTCTAGAACACATTCAAGGTGATATATGGGCCCATTCACCTGCCATGTGGACCATTCAGATATTATAAGGTTTTGATAGATGCATCTACAAGATGGTCACATGTGTGTTTTTTATCAACTCTCAACTTAGCGTTTGCAAGATTACTTGCTCAAATAATAAGATTAAGAGCACAATTCAGATTATGCCATTAAGACATATCGTCTTGATAATGCTGGTGAGTTTACATCTCAGGCTTTTAATGATTATTGTATGTCAATTGGAATAACATTTAAAGAGTATGTTGCTCATGTTCATACACAAAATGGTTTAGCATCAATTACAATCTCGCTATTTTTAGCCACTTTTGACCGCATTTATTTTTGTACCCATTTTATTACGTCAATTTAGTGAATTTTTGTCAAACTCATTCTTTACTTGATTTGATGATTACATAACTTCTAACATATATTTTTGGTGATTCAATCTCTGTGGGACGATATATGTATTTCGGTACACTTTATTACTTGTACGATCCGTGCACTTGCGGGATTCACACAACAAGTTTATCACAGTTAATTATTTTTGGACTGTGACATCAATATAACTGAATAAATAGGTTGAAAACATCATATTTTGCTTGATAGAGAGAACACATAAAACATTAGATAAGGTGAATGAGGGTAAAACAGAGGTAGAATCAGTATGTGTTGTAGATAAACCTGAACCATCACCAATGTGGATGTCATCTGGACCCTCATAAGGTTGATGAATTGAAAGATTAGATAACTAAGAAGTGACATGATGAGAAGCACCATAATCGACAATCCAAGGAGCATGAGTCGGGGAGGCTACAGTGGCGTGGTTAGCGGAGGGTTGATAGGGCCGAAGTTAAGGAAATAGTTTGAAGCAACGCTTGGCATCATGCCCTTGTTTATCAGAGTATTGACAGTCAACTTGAGCAGGTCGAGTAGTGGAAGAGGGCGAAGGTTTGAACTAGGTGGTAGTGGATATAGGAGTGGGAAGGATACCAAGGTTGGATGAGGAAATCGAGTGTTTCGGTTGGTGGAAAGGAGGCGAGTGTTTGGCAATGTGAGCAGTGGGTGGGGTGGATTCAGATAAGTGTTTGTCATTATATAGCAGGAAGGTTTCATGATCAACTATTTAATGAAAGAGCTCTTCAAATGGAACCACGGAGTTCCAAGTCCGCATAGCCGTGATCAGTTCTTTGTAAGCTAGTCCACGCCCACCAATTGTGTGGACAAGCAAGTCAGCATCACTCGGGAGATCACCAAGAGCAGTTAGCTCATCTGCAATCTGCTTGATAAACACAAGAAAATCAGTTACTAATAAGGAACCTCGAGTGGTCATTGATAGTTTGTCCTTGAGATGAATAATGTGAGACGTCGAGCGCTTAGCATAGAAACGGTCCAAGCAATTCCATGCTTCCTAACTTGTAGTGGCAAATGAAACAAGAGGAATAATAGCTTCACTAAGAGAAGCAAAAATAGCATGGAGAATCAACTGATCTTAACGGCGCCACATAGTGTGATCTGGATTTGGAACCTGCAAACCATTTTGAGAAAGCATAACCGAGGGACATGGATAAGAGCCATCAAGATAGCCAAGGAGATCCAATCCATAAAAAAGAGCATGAAATTGAGCGTTCCATGATAAAAAGTTAAGGGAAGTGAGTTTTAAGGGCAATTGAGCAGCATCGTTGATGGTAACCAAGGATGAAGCGGTATTTGAGGTGACAGTAGGAGTGAGGGGAGAGGACGTGTTTGTAGAGGAATATGAAGCCATCGAGACAATGGAGGAAAAAAAATTGCAAGATCAGAATTCTCGTTAGAGTAGAGCTCTTATACCATTTAAAGTTTAGCTAAATTGAATAATGACTTCATTAATTTATTTTGATTATAGCGTATGATATATATACAAGTACAAGTATAACTGAAGTGCTAGTTTTTAGGAAATACATTAACCAGCAGAAGCTAAAAACTAGGGATGATCTATTTAAGTTGTAGAGATTGCTTGAGCTTGAGAGATTTTTTCGGGGCCGGAGATTTTGCAGAAGTTTCCACGGTTGCAACTGCAAGAGACTTAGACGGAGTTGTTTCTGATCATTCGCTAATAAAAAAATGACATTCATTTCCCTCAACAAATCCTAAAAAATGAAAAAGGAAAAAGGAAAATAATTTTTTGTTCTTTTCTATCTTCCTCACACTTTATAATAAAAAAAAAATTTACTGTTTTCAAACTATTTGAGCCATTTTCGAAAACGCTTACTAAACAAGAAATATTAGAAATTGCGAAACCGTTCCCATAATGATACGAAACAAGCCCTCACCCTTGAATTTAGACGATTACTTTTATCACTTTACACCAGTACTCTAAAATTGCATGTATGCTTTTATTATTATTTTTTTTTATTTTTTTTTATTTTTCTCTAGTTAACTTATTTTTTTAAGGGAAAATGTAACATAGCATTACTGGGCTAAATAGCAGAGAGACTACAAATAATAAGATAGGATCAATATTCTAAACATCCATAGAACTATGAAACACCAAATTAGCGAAAAGTTGGGCTACCGTATTACTACTAAGAGCAATATGGTAACAGCGACCACCATTATTAAGCAAAGAAATGTGAATATCTTTAATAATAAAACGGTCATCAGACAAAACATTAGAAGCATAATTTTACGCAGAAAGGAAAAAAAGAACTAATGGAAGCAAGATTTCTCTTAGTTTGGGGACTTATTAAAAGCCAATATTTTAAAATTGGAAATTAAATAGTGTAAAAAGTTGAAAATTTTGCTAAAGTCAGGTGCAAAACCCTTTTTTTTTTCTTTTTTTTTATCTACGTTTTTTTTTATTTGTCTACGATTAATAAAATTTTAAACTAAAAAGCATAAATGAAATTTAATGTTTAAAAAACAGTCAGCAGTACTTAAACGATATATATTTAAAACAAATCATTTTAATAATATGTTAAAAATAGAATTCTTGAATAATACATAAAGTCCGTTTTCTAATACAGATCTTCGTAATTACGATAATAGACGAATGTAGACCCCGCATTGCATCGAAAAGATGTCAGTGATTTTAAAGGGTGAATTAAAGGAATTCTACTTGTAGATTTTTTGCAAATTATTGAGCCTAATTCAATCAAATCTAAAGCGGTTGTATCCGAATATATTTTCTTGTTAAAAAAAAAAACGTTGAGCCTAATTTTTACACATAAAGTCAATATGATGAAAGTAGTAACCACTCTTGCTGAAAAAAAAAAAAAAAAAAAAAAAATCTAAAATACCACTCAAAATAGTAAAAAATATTATTTATATTACTTCATTAAAGAATAAACAATTATTATTTAATTAATAAAAAATAAAAAATTATAATAACACTTAATTATTTAAAATAATTACACAAAATCATGACAAATTGTTTACCTTTAAAAAAAATCTATGACGAATAACAAAACTTCAAAAAGTGATGCCTTTTAAATAATTGGAGTTTAAAAGTATAACCAGCATAATTCAGGCGTGATTTTGGCCTGCATGCCAAGACATATATCAAAACAGAAGGCACCAAAACCGTATGATAACCATGACCCATAGATGTCCAAAATGAAAAACTTATTGGTGACCCATGGAATAGGAATTACACATGTGGCGACAGCTTTAATTGATAATAATTCCCCACACTAACACACGCACAGACAATATATATATATAGATATATATATATATATATATATTGATTCATGAAGATAATTATCATACCAGATGCGTTACTCTTCTCTTTTATGTGAAAGAGAACATGACCATTATTCTTCAAAAAAAAAACACTTCCTATCCAACCCATTGTGTGCAAAAAAGCAAGATCAAGAAGGGCATAAATGGAATAAACGTCCAAATAATAAAAAATACTATGATCATGGAATCGGGCAAATGCCCCCACAGAGATACTGAGAATAGTTCTTCTTAGTGGTGTTTGAAGCTTGAATCCTTGACGATGGTCACAGGGCATTCAGCAAGTGAAATCACGTGGTTGCTCACACTTCCCATTATTAACCTGTTTTTGAACAATCACAATAATCAACCCAAATACACAAATGAAACCACTAACGGCCTGTTTTGATTCACGTAAAGCTGGCAAACCAAGTAATGACACAAGGACACAATTTAAAATTCACACGAAATTAACGGGTTTAGGTTTATTATAAATGAATTTAAATCATAATCGAATTGACATGATTAACACGATTAATAAATAAATTGAATTAAGATTGACCTCCTAAAACGAAATGATACGAATTGACACGATTAACTATATGTGTCATCTGTAATATAATGATATGTCATATAACATAAAAATTTATATGACATATTAAATATAAATAATGTGAATTTTAATATTTATAGGTAAAATTTATTTATTTTTTTAAAAAAAAATAAATTAATTAATAAACATGTTAAACTTATCTTTATCGTGTTAAATAAGTCATTATTATATCAATTATTTATTTAATATATTAATTTAAACAAATTATACAGATTAATATAATTAATGCGATTAATAAATAGATCATATTTAAATTAATATTTTTAATGCGTTTAATAAGACTCTTTTTAAGTTAATATTTTTTAACACGAATAATAAATGAATTGACACAAATACACTAACTAACCTAAATTATCATCAGATTCACGATTCAAGTCGGTGATTTAATATATAATGCAATTACAATTTAATACAAAACCGAAATTAGCGTACCTTTGGATGGTCCCGAGTCCTCTGCTTCCCATGACCAAAGAGTCCAACTTCAGATCTTCAATAGCATAAAGGATCTTCTCTCTTGCATCTCCCCAGTAAATCTTTGCAACAATTGTCACCTACAATTATTTATGATATTCACAAATCAATCTATAAACTTAAGTTTTGAAATTAATGGGAAAAAAATCACATTACAGGGGGGGGGGGCGGGGGGGAAGAAAGAAGAAGATTAAAACTCCACCTCTTTTGTCCTAGAACCAGTGTCAAGCAAATCAAGAACTTGAATATCAGTCTTAACATCGTACTTCTTCAAAATCTCAGGCTGTCTAAACTCAGCCAGAGGAATAAGAGCTAAACCAATTATCAAAACAACCAAAAAAAAAAGAAGAAAAAGGAAACCCAGATCAGATATTAAAAGAGAAAACCAATCTAATCCTTAAAAGTTGATCAATACAAATCTAAATAATAATTAAAAAAAAAAACACACACACACACGTACGTGCACCAGATTTGGCCCAGAGTTTGTTACGAGATTCATCGAGAGAGTTGGGGCTGACGTAAATAACATAAAGAGTGTCTCCTTTGTCGGCCAAATTGTCAATAGCCCATTTAAGAGCGTTCTTGCTGCTCTCCGAGAAGTCAATGGCCACTCCGATTTTCCTGTCCTTAACCATCTTCTTCTTTGTTCTTGATCTGTTTTGTGATAGAAGCAAATTCAAGTTTTGTGTTTCGACGTTTCAGACACCAAAGATAGAGATCAGAATTTTTCTTTCTTTTTTTTTTTTGGTTTTTGTTCTTTTTTAATGCTTTGGGGTTAAGCAGAAGAAAAGGATTTTTATAGACAATACGACAAGCAAATGAAAACTTTCTTTACAGCTTTTCCTGTTTCTTGTGTGTTTCTTCACTCCACTCAAACCGTTTCTTGGCATCTACTTTCATCCTTACCGTCCACGTTTTACTCTTCTAGCATCCAGACCATTGCTCCAAGTTTCAAAGTAAGAGGTTGTTTGGTTAGGAGATTCATATTCTGATTTGAATTATGATTCATGATTTGTTATAGTATTTTTTCTCATAAAAAATATACATAAATTAAAAATAATTTTAATTTCATGATTCTAATCCATGAATCAAAGGCCAGACTCATCTTTTTTATTTTATTCGACACTTCGTTCTGCCCGTAATTTGATATATATAAATATATATATATATATAATATATATGTATATGTATTATAGGGCCATGTGGGAATACATTACATGTGAATAGCATGTGATAGAGGGAATCACGAGGTGTTGATGATTCTTCCTTTGGAATTGCCAGTTAGTTTATTACGTGATACCATTTAACTAAATGGCAAGATCTTCAAGCAAAAATAAAAAATAAGAATAAAATCTAAATCCAGATATGTTTTTCTTTTCAAAATGTGTTTTTTCTTTTTTCAAAATTCTCATAGGAAAGAAATTTGATTGAAAGGCATACCGCATATTGAAAGAGGACAACAAATGGCCTATTATCAAAACCGAAGATATATATTTGTATTTTTTTTTTCAGGGTGACTTTTTTTTTTTTTTTTTGAGGATATCAAGGTGATATATTTATTTGCATGTTTACATAAACGAATAAAGTATATATAATATGACATATATACACACATATATTTGCGTGCGCGTTTCATTCAAATTCAACATATTGATGGTAGGAAGCTTCTTTGCACCTTCCTTTGTCATTTTCATTTAATTGTAGATTTTTTTTTTTTTTTTTTTTGCTAAGGCCATATACTTGTAGATTACACACCCTTAATAGCTTCTGATTACCTAATTGTATGAGTAAAAGGCGACAAAGGAACCTTAAGGTCATTTTGACCCTAACACGGAAAGGGTAATCTGAAGATGTTATACTACAAAATGTCTAGGTGCATGATGTCTAAATATGTCTACTTTTCATAATATTATAAATGTTCTACTTTACAGAAATATAGAACTCGTTACTGCTCGTTGTACCCCATTTGAATATTTTGGGCACATTCTTTGTATAATTTTTTGTATCTCTTTTTATTAGCCTTTTATTTTAGTTGTCTTGCCTATTTTTTTTAACAATTAATGTTCCAATCAATTGATTTAATTTTGGTAGCATTGTTTGAATTTGTTGTGACGTTTGTTTCAAGGGTTCTGTCTGATTTAAGATCATGGTTCTTAATTCTGTTACAGTATTTTTCTCTTATAAAAAATTTAAATTTTAAAAATCAGAATCATGAACCGTAATTTTAAACTCATGAACCAAACGTCACATTTATCTTCCCTCGTAAAGATTTCATCCTCAATTTCTACATTATATTAACTCTGTTTGCGACTGCAACATAACCACTGCAGGATCTCCAAAACTCCCATATATAACCTGATCAATATTTGTAGACGAATGAAAATCATTAGCAAATATAGTTAAAAGAATTAAGCACATCAAAGGATTTCCACACATAAGCAAGTGATTCAAAGCTATATTTTCATCACTATCATTCCAATATCCACATATGTATGTATGGGGATGAATATAAATCGTTACAAAACGAAGTCGTTTAAGAAGAAGTGACATGGCGTCGTGCAAGCTTGCAAAGAAACTTCAGAGCGGAAGGAAGGTTTAAATGGAGAAACAAATCTGCAGAGAAAAGTAGGGCTGACGTGGACAATCAATGAAATTCAGAGTTCAGCCTCAAGAAAATCTATAAATACCATAAACACGAGGGTTAGAGGATCTTTTTTGACACAATTTTCCTCCTACTGAAACTTTGTCAACTTAGAGAGAGAAAAAGAATAGTTTAGTGAGAGAAAGATCAAATCAATTTTAGAGTTGAGACAAAAATTGACCCCAACAATATGTTGCGCATTTTTTTTGTTTTCTATATTATTTGTTCCTATTTTCCCCTTCATGTCTATTATGATCGTCTTTTTTTTCCCTTTTTTTTTTCCTTCTTTCGTGGATTATAAAATTGTAGTATTATTATGTTTTTGTTTTCTTTCTGGGTAGTTTCTTATTTTACAAATTATGAGATTGTGTTCTTGTATTTTCGGTTTTCTTTATTTTCATAAAACTACTCTTATTCTTTATGACAATGTTTGTACTCGCACTTTGTTGCACTCAATTTAGCAGGCATTTTATTATATTCCTAATCATCATAAACTTTTAATTTTTATAATGATACTTGTATTGCTTTGTCTCCAACTTCAAATTCCACATTTCTTCTTCTAGCATTCGCATAGCTTTTCTGCCTACTTTGAGCAACTAACATTCTCTTGCGGATCTTTTGAATTGCTTCCTCAGTTTTCTGCACCCAATCAGGACCAAGGTATTCCTTTTCACCAATATCATCCCAAAGGATTGGGGATCTACATTTTCTACCATACAAAGCCTCATAAGGTGCCATACCAATAGTAGCCTGATAACTATTATTATATGCAAACTCAGCTAGAGGTAGGTACTCATCCCAAGACTTTTGGAAATCAAGAGCACATGCTCTCAACATATCCATCAAAATCTGAATAGTTCTTTCTGATTGGCCATCTGTTTGGGGATGGAAAGCTGTACTGAAAGCTAACTTGGTACCCATAGCTCTATGCAAGCTCTTCCAAAAATGGGAGGTAAACTGAGAACCTCTGTCGGAGACAATAATGGCTGGTACCCCATGCAATCGAACAATTTCCTTTACATATATCCGGGCATATTTATCCATGGAGTAAGTTGTACGAATTGGAAGAAAATGGGCCGACTTAGTTAATCTATCAATGATCACCCAGATTGAGTCATATCCGTCCTTAGTCCTTGGTAATCTAGTTACAAAATCCATCGCGATATCCTCCCATTTCAATTGTGGAATTTCTAGTGGTTGCAACGTACCTCCCGGTCTCTGATGCTCACCTTTTACTTGCTGACAAGTGAGACACTCTCTGACAAACTTGACAACATCTCTTTTCATCTTTGGCCACCAATAATAAACTTTTAAGTCCTTATACATTTTACTTGTATCAGGGTGAATCGAATAAGGAGTATTATGAGCTTCCTCCATTATTTCCTTCTTAAGATTATCATCATTTGGAACACAAAGCTTAGTTCCAAGTCTGATTACTCCATCAATAGTGATCTTAAAGCTCTTACTCTTTCCCGATACAATTTTACTCCTTAAACGACAAAGATAAGGATCCGAACTTTGTTTCTGCTTTATTTTCTCTAACAATGTGGGTTGTAACGTCAATGCAGAAAGTCTATCCATCAATCCATAAGGTATAATCTCCAATTCTAACTTTTGCAAGTCCCTCCCCAACGGTATCTGAATCAGTGACATAGCTGACATATTCATACATTCTGAAGATTTACGGCTCAAAGCAGCTGCCACTATATTAGCCTTACCAGGATGGTAGTTAATGACACAATCATAATCCTTTATCAGCTCTAACCACCGCCTTTGTCTCATATTTAGCTCCTTCTGAGTGAAGAGATACTTCAAACTCTTATGATCTGTAAAAATCTCACACCTTTCACCATACAAGTAATGTCTCCATATCTTCAATGCAAACACCACAGCAGCTAACTCCAAATCATGAGTTGGGTAGTTCTTCTCATAATCTTTTAACTGACGCGAGGCATAAGCTATAACTTTTCCTTCATGCATTTATACACACCCCAACCCATTTCTAGAAGCATCACTATATACCACAAACCCCTTATCATTCATAGGGATAGTGAGAATTGGGGCTGTCACCAATCTATTCTTTAGTTCTTGAAAACTATTTTCACATGAATCAGACCACTTAAATTGCACATTCTTCCTGGTCAATTGCGTGAGAGGATTGGCAATTTTTGAAAACCCTTCAACAAATCTCCTATAATACCCAGCCAATCCAAGAAAACTTCGAATTTCTGAGGCATTGGTTGGTCTTGACCAATTAGTCACCGCCTCTACCTTACTAGGATCCACTGAAATTCCATCCCTTGAAACCACATGACCAAGAAATGCCACTTTCTCTAACCAAAATTCACACTTCTTAAACTTGGCATATAACTGTTTTTCCTTAAGAGTTCTTAGTACTATTCTCAGATGCTCAGCATGCTCCTTCCTTGAATGAGAATAGATAAGGATGTCGTCAATGAAAACAATCACAAAATTATCCAAGAAATCCTTAAATACCCTATTCATCATATCCATAAACACTGCTGGAGCATTGGTCAATCCAAATGGCATAACTAAGAACTCATAATGCCCATATCTTGTACGAAAGGCAGTCTTTGGTACATCACCCTCCTTTATCCTCAACTGGTGATATCCAGATCGCAAATCTATTTTGGAAAACATTGTGGCTCCCTGTAATTGCTCGAACAAATCATCAATCCGAGGCAAAGGGTACTTATTCTTTACTGTCACCTTATTCAATTCCCTGTAATCAATACACAGCCTCATTGTACCATCCTTCTTCTTCACAAATAACACTGGAGCACCCCAAGGAGAAAAACTCGGTCTAATGAATCCTTTGTCCAATAATTCTTGTAACTGAACTTTCAATTCTTTCAGCTCGAGTGGTGCCATTCTGTATGGAATCTTAGAAATAGGTGTTGTATCAGGTACTAACTTAATCTCAAATTCAAGCTCTCTTCCTGGTGGTAACCCTGGTAAATCTTCTAGAAACACCTCTGTGAACTCATTGACTACAAAAACATCTTCTACCTTAACCTTCTGCTCTACTAGGGTATCAACAACACTAGCAAGAAAACCCACACAACCACTATCTAGTAGTCTCCTAGCCCTCAAAGCAGAGATTACAGGAGTCCTCAAACCACTCATTATACCCATAAATGAGAACTC